CCACACTGACCTCTGCCCTCTTCAGCATCTCCCATTTGTGCAGCATTTTCATGGCAAAGATCTGCCCACTGTCCCTCTGCCTCACCACGGCGACCTGAGGCCACAGAGAGCACGGGGCTCAGCACCTGGGGGCGCACCCCCCTCCCGCCCCCCCTGCCCTCTGCTCACCTCCCCGAAGGCGCCTCGGCCGATCACCTTCAGGATCTCAAAGTCATCTCTCTGCAGCCGCAGCTCCTTCACTTTTGTGACGAAGGGGCCGGCTGAGGAGACAGAGAGCGGGGCTCAGGGAACCTTCTGGAAGGGCCCCAGGTCCCTCTCTCACCTGGGGAAAGCCAGGAGCTATAACTCCTGTGAGGCTAGGGCAAGGATGACCTCCCCAGGACAACCTCTGGCTAAGGGGTCGATAGGGGCTGCAGCCCATTCCGCCATGAGCAGGATGCATGCAAGGTGGGGTCCTGACTCTGCTGACCACCTGGCCCTGAGACCTCCCTGAATCCTTGGAGCTCTGCCCCCAGACTCCAGGCAGCCTGGGTCCCAGGGACTGATGGAATTTGTAGTCCTCCCCAGCTTGGGGGCGGCCCCTGGCCAGCCAGGTCACCCGGGGCAGGTGGGGATACCATTCCCACCCCCAGCTCACAGTTCTTAGCCACCTAGCAAGACCAGGCCAGAGCCTGTCTTGGGAAACTGGACAAGCAACATTCCTTGTCCCCAGAGAGGCTTCTCTGCCATTGAGGAGCTGTGGCCCAGTCCTGGGCCCCTGTAGGCACCGGGGCACCTTGGTTGGGGTGAGGCCTGGGGGAGCCCAGAGAACAGGTAGGACAGGGTCTCCCCATGTGGGGCCTCCCCGTCGGCAGGCATAGATAGGTCTGCCCAGATCCTCACAAGACTCAAATGCAGGGCCAAAACCTCTCCGTGGCTCCTGCCGCCGGCACTGGAAGATGTGAGCACTCAGGACCTCCTCCGGGTCTGACCAGCCCTTGAGCTGCCTCCCTCTCTGGACTCTGCCTTCACCTGGCCAGGATCCTCCTCCTTCCTGCAGTCCCCGATACTCCCACACGGGGCAGCTTCAGCCACTCCCAGGCCCGCTCCAGGCCGGGAGGTGGGACTGGGGCCTAGACACTGAGGGAGGCCAAGAGTGACCAGTAGGAGTTGGGGTCAGCTGCAGTTTCCCCTGCCAGGCGGTAAACTCCCTGCCAGCTGGGCGGGTGTGTGGGTGGGACAGAGAGCTGCTCCACAGGTTTATCAGGCCGAACCCCCGCAGCAGGGGTGGAAACCTCATTACAGAAATTAATTGTCTTTTTCCCAGGTCTGTGTGTGCAGCTGAGAGGAGCAGCCACAGGCCTCCAAGGGGGAGCCGAGGCCAGGATGGCTACCCATCAGCCAGACAGGGGCCCAAACCAGGGGCCCATAGACAGGAGGACCCAGGTCCCCAGGACAGGCTGCCCAGTCCCCTGGCCCTGCCCCAGGGGATGGGGGCTCTAGGCAGGATGGGGGACAAGTTGGGGCAGGAGCAGAGTGAGTCACCACCCGGCAAGTTACCTCGGGCGCTGTCAACAGACAGGCCCCCACACTGGGGTCCCAGGCAGAGGTGCCAGAGGCAGGCAGGGAGGAGCACATGTGTGTGCAAACACACACACGTGGGTGTGGCGTCACAGGGGGTGATGACAACACAGCAAGACACAAGCATCAGGTGCAGGAGTCCGGGGAGAGGAGAAGGCAGCAAGGAGATGGGGGACTGAGGAAAGGGCTGCGGGCTGGGGACCACTCAGTGGCACGTCTCAGGCCCCCAGCTGTGCCAGGCTGGGCCCTGTGCCTGCCCAGAGCTCAGCAGTGCCTGCACACGAGTTGCCCACTGGGCAAACACCCGCTTCACCTCACCCTCCCTCCAGGCCAGGCCCCATGCCCTACCCCCATGGCCTGGCTGGCACCAGGGCTCACAGTGAATTCAGGGTCACCCCGGGCCAGCCACTCCCGGTGACTCAGATGAGTCAACCAGGAAGGGGCACAGATCCACCTCCGGCCAGGCCTCCCTCCCTGGCCCTGGGGAAAAGCCCTCAGGGAGCCTGGCCAGCGGCTTGCACAAAGGGGCTGAGGTTGGTGCCCAGTCCAGGCAGGGGTGGTCTTAGAGGCAGGGAGATGGGAGTGCGTGTGGGGGCGGGGGAGTGTGTGACACCCACAGACTGTGAGTCGAAGCAGGTGTCTCTCCACCAGCTGAATACAGCGTCTCAGAGCGGGCGTGTGGGGTGTGGGAGCCTGAGAACGCATGTGTGCCAGCGGGTGGCATGCACGGAGCCGCGTGTGGGTCTGTGTTCTCACAGGTCATGCGGTGCGATGCGTGAGGGAGGGATTCTGGACGTGACTCTGTGTCGAGCGTGTACTGCACCTGTGTCTGGGTCTAACCTGGGACCACGTTTCTTTGAGTCTGTCCATGTGAGATGAGTGTCGTGTGCGTGTCCCAGGGTCTGTGAGTGGAAAGGAGTGTGAAAGGAGTGACGGTAAGGTGTGCAGGTGACTAAGAGGCCCGCGGGTCCGCTGTCAGGCCAGTGCCCAGCGGCTGCGGTGGGGAGGGGGGCCGTGGGC